TAACTTCCAATCATTAATAGTACAAAGTTATAAATAGTCTCTGTAAGCAATGATTCAGCAACTTTCTTATGTCATTTTTTCCCTAAAGGAAAAATATTGTTTTTAAACATTTCGTTAGACAGTGAGTAATGTAACTAATTCGGTTTTCTTCTTTTTTTTTATCGAATTGTTAATAACGATCTTGTTCAGAGAATCTACAGTTTTCCAGGTTGAAGCCGCGTTTAACTTGGCACTCAGCCATGGTTGTCCAATATAATGGCGTAGCAAGCAATAATTTTACTAACATACAAATTTTTTATACACTCTTTCTCACCTTCGCTGGGCCCGGCATGGCCAGGTGGTTAGGGCGTTCGAATCGCAGTATGCAGGTCGCGGGTTTGAATTCCCGTCCCACCATACATTCTAGCCCTTTTAGCCCTTTTTAATATGATGGTCAATCCCACTATTCGTTGTTAAAAGAGTAGCCCAAGAGTTGGCGGTGGGTAGTGATGACTAGCTACTTTCCCACTAGTCTTTCACTGTTAATTTGTGGATGGCTAGTGCAGATAGCCCTCGTGTAGCTTTGCGTGAACTTCCAAACAAACCAAACTATTCACCTTCGCTGTTGTATTTATTAATAGAATATTAATTTAAAAATATTTCCTATAAAGAATATTTAAGGAAAAAATAACCTTTGACTTATTTCACTTCTTTTGTGGTGTGAAAGGTCAGAGTACAAATCCCATCATCAAACCTGCCGTTCTTTCAGCCGTAGAGGATTATACTGTGTCGGTCAGGCCCACTATTCGATTAGAGTAGCAAAAGCGTTGGCGGTGGATGGTGTTTACAATCTACCTTCCCTCTAATCTACCACTTCTGAAATAGGTATGTGTAACTTTGTGCGAAATTCAACAAACAGACAAACACTTTTTTTTAGCTATTATTTCTAGACATACAAATACTTGAAACGATATATTATTTCATCTTTACTTAAATTCAAATTATAGCAGTATTAGAAATGCCGTTTAAACTTCTTACAATAGTCACTCGATTTAGGATAATAGTAATAAATAATGCTACCACGAAACTATGGTTAATGGAATATATCAGTGAGAAATGTTTTGAATATTAAAACCACAAACAGAAGATTCGTTAGTTCCGCTATATTTAGATATTCTACAAATAATAAAAATATCTCTAAAAATAAATCTTCAACAGAACATGAAAACTTCATCTTCAACACATTATAAAAAACAGAAGATATCTTCTGTTTTTATAATGTGTTGAAGATGAAGTTTTTATGTTGTGTTGAAGATATTCTGTTTTTAAAATGTGTTGAAGATATTCTGTTTTTATAATGTGTTGAAGATGAAGTTTTTATGTTGTGTTGAAGATCTTCTGTTTTTATAATGTGATGAAGATGAAGTTTCATGTTATGTAGAATATCTTCTGTTTTTTATATTGTGTTGAAGATGAAGTTTTCATGTTGTGTTGAAGATAATGTGATGAAGATGAAGTTTTCATGTTATGTAGAATATCTTCTGTTTTTTATAATGTGTTGAAGATGAAGTTTTTATGTTGTGTTGAAGATCTTCTGTTTTTTATAATGTGATGAAGATGAAGTTTTCATGTTATGTAGAATAAAAACAGAATATCTTCTACACAATATGAAAACTTCATCTTCAACACATTATAAAAAACAGAAGATCTTCAAAACAGCATAAAACTTCATCTTTAACACATTATAAAAACAGGAGATATTCTACACAACATGAAAACTTCATCTTCAACACATTATGAAAACAGGAGATATTCTACACAACATGAAAACTTCATCTTCAACACATTATAAAAACAGAATATCTTCAACACAACATGAAAACTTCAAGTAACTGATGTCTAAGTTTGTTTTGTTTTTCTCTATCTTACTAGTTCACACCTTTATAAATTTTACCTTGTATTTACCTGAACGTTTCGGTGATAAGGATTCTCTACATTGTTTTTCATTATAATCATAAAACTCCAGTATGTATTTTCCCAGATTACTTGTATGAAGGTTATAGATTTATTCTCGGAATTTCCTTTCGTATAGCTGGAGTCCCCATCGGACAATTTTTGCTTCTTACCTTTCAAGGCTCAGTGAACAAGTACTTTACGTCCAAACCTGGAAAACACGTTGAAAAAATATTACGAACATTATGCCGATATCACTTCCTTGAAAGTATTCAATAATTATAAGCTTTTACCATAAGGAAGAAATGTTACTAACAAATTTATTGAAAATTATGTACATTATGCCATAAAAAGTACTTCCTCGAAAATATTCAAAAATCAAGAAGTTTTACAATAAGGTCCCAGTTTGCCCCTGAAGAAGAAAGGTCCACCTTTCGAAAGCGCTCGGGTTATAGGGTTTTTATTCATTACTATAAGGTCGAGATATTACTAAAGCATAACAAAACGTATACATTTATATGATTGACTCATTACTATTTTAGATAGACTATTCAAGGAAAGAAGAGCTTATATAATAAGCTATCTTTAATATTTGAAATTGTTCCGTGAGATGTCACTCTTCTTCGTCCATTTTAGGTACCATACATATCATAAACAAGATCAAAAGCAAACTGTCAATTACAATTAGAAAATATATCTTTAAGGATGTTAACTTATGTATTTTCTATTTTCAAATTAAGTATATATATATATATATTGAGAAGTGCTGGGATTTTACCAAGAGCATGTCTCCGAGCATTTTGTGGAAAATGGGTTATATACATCAGAAGTAGATGACATTCACTGAACATGAGGAAGGACCAAACTTGAAAAACTAATTCTATTTTTCCAAATGAAACACTAATAATATTTTGACAATACACAGTGGGCTTTCACTACGGTATTTGAAAATACACTGTATACATAAAGTTCACATACTCAAACCATAAGTTAGTTATCTCTTTATTATCTAATGCAGTATGCAATGAAAGCCTTAATATACACCATATAAGTAAAACTTGACCATAAGACAAATGATCCTGAAACTGCTAGTGTTAAGGAAGTGAGAGGATGTAACACATAAGAGAAAACTTAGAAATATATTTTTTGCTATAAAGTTTCAAATGATATAGATCGTAAATTTTTCCTGGTCAGTTAAAGGTTTTTATGAGTTATGCCCCCCAGTGGCACAGCGGTATGTCTGCGGACTTAAAACGCTAGAATCCTGGTTTAGATACCCGTGGTGGGTAGATCACAGATAGCCCATTGTGTAACTTTGTGCTTAATTACAAACAAACAAACATGAGTTATATACAATCGATGTTTTGAACACTCACTCTTGGAAACTTGTAATTTAAAGTTCTGTCCTTAATATGTTGTTTTTTTTTGTAAACCTAGAGGGCAGTGTTTGACTTTTCCTTCAAACTGATGTATCTGTTTTATAATGTTAACAAGGCTGTTTTATTAGAATAAATGTTTCCTGAACAGTTTAGAGTCTAACAGTTCCCACGGGCTTACCAAACAAATGGTTTTATCTTAAATGTTTGTTAATGTCAACAATTTTCTAGTATTATAAAGTATGTACGTTCCATACCCCTAGGATTTAGTGTGCTCATTAATTATTATTATTTTTCAAACTTTATGATAATTATTTACTGGCATTTGATAATCAGTGCTAAAATTTAATGACATTAATATTGTCTAAAACAAAATTACCAGCTTTCACGTTTACAGAAGGGCATCTTACTGGTGGTTGAATATTTTACACTAAAACTGGATTTCTGGCCTCCAATTTACAGGAATCAAAAATGAAGATAACGTTTGCAAGTGTCATTTTCATTCTTTACCTGGCTTTTACGATCACTCTTCAAAGAGAAACAAAACGAGCAAAACGACAACTTGAAGGTGAGTAACTAATGTTGCTCAATAAGTTTGTAGTAAATATGAGCTGCAGATTTTTAACTGACCAAAACGACAAAGCAAAAGTCACGTAAAACATGACACTTTAATTTAAACTATGTTGAAAATTTTCGGTGATTTAAATATGCTGCCTTAGATATTTTCAGTAGTTATTTTAGAATTTCAAAAATATTTTAAAACAAACAAGACATAACGATTTCATTTCATTCATGTTGATATTGATGTCATTAAGTTCTATCTACTCGAAATAAAGGGAATTTTAAATCTATTTTGACAAAAAATATAGATAGGTTGGATTTAAAAACATTGCATTATCATATTATGATAACACTATAACATATAGAAGGGGCAGTGTGGATCAGTGGCTTTGCGCTTTACAGTCGTAGTTTGATACTTCGAGTTCAGAGGCAGCTCAAATGGGGCTATTGTGTCCTAAAGTAAGACATTCTATTCCAACCGTTTCAGTTAATCCAGCTATCTGCTGGGTATCAACTGTTAATTGGGGAATAACCTTTGCAGAGGGTATGTGTCACTATTCTCACCCGCTTGTATTAGGTAAGCCGGGTTTCAGCATTGGATCTTATGTGTGCAGAGGGTATGTGTCACTATTCTCACCCGCTTGTATTAGGTAAGCCGGGTTTCAGCACTGGATTTTATGTGTGCAGAGGGAATGTGTCACCATTCTCATCCGCTTGTATTAGGTAAGCCGGGTTTCAGCACTGGATCTTATGTGCCATTTCGACATGGGAAAGATTTGACCTTGACTGTTAGCATGTAAAAAAATGCAAAATTATTAATAAAATTTGATGCGCGGTAGTTTTAAAGATTAAACAAGTAGGTTTAATTAAGGTTTTGTTGGAAAATTGTTTTGACTCATTTTTATTTTGTTATGTTTACTTTTCTATTGTGTATAAAAACACAGTGTTTGTTTGTGATTAAGCACAAGGCTACACAATGGGCTATCTGAGCTCTGCCTACCACGGGTATCGAAACCCGGATTCTAGCATTGTAAGTCCGCATACGTACCGCTGTGCCACTCGGGAGGGGGGGGGCAAAAAAAGTGTACATGCCTGAGTGTAAAAACAACAGTTAAAACAGTAACATATATTTATTAAAATGCTGTAACCATTATGTCGTGATTCGTAAGATAAATTCATCGAAAATGAAAAATAACCGTGCTCTAATCTTTTGTTGTGTTACTTGAAGGTTTGCCGTTCGATCCTTCAGCCTTCTTTCCTGGTCAGTTTGGACCGAGTATTGAAACACCATGTACGACTCCTGATGGTGGTCAAGGAGTATGCAAAGTTCCCAGTGCCTGTTTGTTCTCATTCGACAGTATAGAAGACATACAAGGTTCTACGTGTTCTTTGGGCAACATTGGTATCGGCACCTGTTGCCCAAGCCAATCTGATGGAATTATACCATCAAGTATGTTTACTCTTTTTTCTACTCCATTATTTAGGTGGCGATTAAAGGACAGTGACTAGAAATTGTCCCTAATATTTTAGAATCACCAAATAGAGCGATCTGTGAAGTTCAATTTTATGTGTTAATTTCTAAAACTAAATGTTAAGAATTAAACTTAAACTCAGTTTTCCAGATAACTAATATTCAATAAGACTGGTAATATATCCCGAAAGATGTTTTCTGCCTTGCTATAAGGGAGAGACTTAACCAATTTTCAGTCACCTATTCAATGTTATTATAAAGGAAATGAAAAAACATTATTCAGAGATGTATCTAATTTACAACATGACTTTCCTTACATTCTGTGTATACGTGAGTTTATGTAGCTTTAGAAATATTCACAGAATGTAACAAAAATAATATTTAGAACAAAAATGTTTAAATTAGCAAGTGCAAAAAAAATTTTCATCTCCCTTCTTAATCAAGCTAAATAATTACAGACTAACTCGACACAAAAGTTATTGCCCTACTTTATCCTAGACTCTCTATCACCTTTCATTGTCCCTGATTTGCAATGTGTTTGTTTGTTTGTAATTAAGCACAAAGCTACACAATGGGCTATCTATGCTCTGCCCACCACAGGTATCGAAACCCGGATTTTAGCGTTGTAAGTCCACAAACATACCGCTATGCCACTGGGGGACGCAATGTGTGTGTGAAAAGAGATAATTACTTTTATCTCTTTTCACACACACATTGAAAACGTACAAGCGCCCTGTGGTTAATAAACTATCAAGGTTATCAGTACATTAGATTTCATCTTAATAGTTTTGTTTTTGTTTTTTTTCCATGATAAAAACGATTAAAAGTTTTTACTTCTCAGTGTTTTCCATCCATACACTTGCCATGCTGCATTATCATATTAATAAGTATCCTCTTATATACAAACCAACCAAGTTTGCACAAAAATAAAAAGGTCATATTTTCTAGGCAAGAAAATGCATTGGTTCGTTAACTTTATGTTACTCGTGTCTTGAAAAGGCCTCAAACATAATATAGAAGGTAAGATGTCCGAGAATAAAATATTCCTGAAAAGACAATAGAGGAGACAAAATGGTTAATTCAGACGCTTTGTTGATAAATCATATATAATACTTGAAATCAAGCAGTACATATGATCGAAATCAATGAATTATGTAAACCAGAAACAAGTGACGTACTACACTCGTGCATGGTAATAAAATTAATATGTTCGACTTTAGAGCAGAGTCTTAGATTTGGCGTTAGCAACATTAGCCTCAGCAATCTGTTTGCTATACATTTTGTCTTTTGTGCTGAAAATATTTAGTTATATATTTTTTTCTCATCATTTGTTAGGGATATTGTAACGCAACAGTAAAATAATTTTCTAATGTTTTTTTTTTTCCTAGTTCCGTTTCGGATTCCGTCTTTGGACTTTCCTGTGCAGGTTAACATTCCACAGATCACCGGTAATGATCTGAATAACGCTGGTGCGGCTGGACAAGCAGCTCTAACGTCATTGCAAGCTTTAGAACAAGAGCTCAAACAACTAGGTGAGTTCATCATACAAACAGTATGGAAGTAGTTGCAAAAGATGGTTGTTTCGATAATTTGCTATGAAAATAAACTTTTGTTTTGAATTTCCCGTTGCATATTAACGATACAGTAACTTGTACTTTATGATACTTTCTTAATTTTTCTTTGAGGTTTCTTGAGTTAAAAGGCAGCATATTATTACTCGCATTAACCATAACATATCTTCTCTTTTCAACCACCAATAAAAGACTTAAAATCCTCATAAATATTATATACAAATCACCATTTTAAACAGGCCTAAACGTATTTTTTTGGTTTGCTGACACAAGCTCTGACTGATGAGCCTTCAATAGGCAAAACTATAGTCCACAGTAGAGGGTATGGCCAATTAAATAATGCATTAGGCCTCTACGTAACAGATTCTATTTTCGATTCTACTTTTGGTGAGAAAGAAAACAAATCTTTAATAAATATATACATAAAATTATTAAATAGTTGGTCAGATATTTAATATGGAGTAATGATTTAGGCAAAAGAATAACATTTTTCACACAGCTAAATTATTTTAGGTTACTTTATTGGTGATTGAAAAGGACTTACAAACCTCATAAATTTATATGCAAATCACGGTTATAAGAGCCCAAAATCTATTTCTTTGTTTTGCTAGCACAACCTGTGCTGATGAGCCTTGAATAGGCACAACTGCAGTTCACAGCAGAGGGTATGGCCAATCAAATAATGCATTAGGTCTCTACGTCACAAATTCTCTTTTATATTTTACCTTTGGTGGTAAAGAAATAAAATCTGTAATATATATATATATATATTTATCATATATGTTATTGATAGACCATACATATAGATAGAATACTGACTGATTGTTTTGGTCTATTTTATTGAAAGAATGTTGTTGTTGTTTTATTATTAACAACAACATACATGTTTACGAAAAATACATTTTACGCATTTTCATTATGTCGTTCATTATTAAAGTTTGAATTTCCTGAGTCAGTCTTTTTGATGTGATAACATGAATCATGTTTGTGTTGTGTTTAGGTTTGGTTACACAGAGAGGAACTTCAACTTTCATGCACCAAGCGTTTTTCGGAACAAAATCTCTCACTCAAAAGCTAGGAAGAGACGGATTTGTTGGTTTGAGAGCGTCTCAAGATTTGGCCAAAACGTAAGTCGACTTGTACACATTTCGATATTATATGTTAATTCAATTTTGAAAAACGTAGTCGTAATTGTTTAACTTATGAATACGTTTAATAAAATTTTAGTGTTTTAAATTCTACCCCGATCTTAACCACATTTCTTCTAAGTATACAATGGGCGGGCTAAAGACAATTTGGAAATTATTTATCTGTTCAAAAACTGAATTAACACGCATTATGCTTTAACCTTATCATAGTTTCATTTCGTTTAAATTATGTAATTAGAAAAAGGTATAACAAACTTATGAAGAAATATTTATTTCAGATTTTCGCGTAAAATTACACACGGGTCATTTGCGCATAGTTGTCTCTATTATTTTTTAACTGATAGACTATAGCTCCTCATCATCATCTCTTGGGCTACCCTTGTCAGATCGAATAGAAGAATTTGACTATGACCCACGCATTTTTTTCGATAACGGGACACAACTCATGAATCATCGGACTCATAGTCCGAGCACGATAACCATTCCACACCCGAACTCTTTGTGTAAACTAATTCCAAAATATATTCACAATACCTAACTGAAAGATAGTCAATAAATACATAACAGTTTGTACCGACTTACTAGTAATGTGTTATTAGTATAAATTGTTTAAAACAGAAACAAGTATATGATAAAATTACTATGAATAGCAAGAACTCAACAGTTGGTTTTCTGCAATATCCACAATTTTACACATTAAAAGAAGTATTTATTCTTTGATGCTTTAGAATGAAAATTGATTTCTAATCAAGAACGATCTTGATTGATAATGTTTATACTTCAATTTTCCACATGACACGTAGAATACTATATTTTTCTTTAATGAAAAACAACTGTATTTTGTTGTTAGTTTCGAACTGGACGTAATACAAGGAAGCAACGGACTCTCTGGCTTCAGTTTGCAGGATACAGTAGCAAGCTCAGTTTGTCCTGGTGTACCTACTTGTCCATCGACAAAATACCGTGCCATAGATGGTAGATGTAATAACCTATACAATCCCACCTGGGGCAAGTCCTTTACTGCTTTCGTCCGTTTGTTGCATCCAAATTATGCTGATGGTAAGTATTCTAAACCATGTAAGTGAAATCCAAAACATGCTGATGGTAAGTATTCCAAACCATGTAAGTGAAATCCAAATTATGCTGATGGTAAGTGTTCCAAACCATGTAAGTGAAATCCAAAACATGCTGATGGTAAGTATTCCAAACCATGTACGTGAAATACAAATTATGCTGATGGTAAGTATTCCAAACCGTGTAAGTGAAATCCAAAACATGCTGATGGTAAGTATTCCAAACCACGTAAGTGAAAAATATTACCACGTTTTCCCGAAAAAAAGTCTGAAAATATTTGATGCTATGAAATAGAATAATGCCATCGGGCATCATACTTTTGTCTGCAGCTTTAACGCAAAAAATAACAATAACTTTATCAACAGAAACTTCATGGTATGATCATGCTAGTATTTCTATAACATGGAAATAAAATCGAAATTTATCATTCCACTCACTCAATGGCAACAGTGTTCGGATTTTCCCTTGTTGTGATATTTCTGTTGAAGCAATGACACGAATATGATTCAACTGATCTTCAATAATAAGATAGATGGATGAACATGTTTTTCATTTCTGACCTAGAAACTACAGACGGATTTAATTAAACCCAACGGAACGCTGTCTTCCACCAATAACATCTATGGATAAAATAAAGACTATTTTAATGAAGAAAGCATAATTTTGTGAAATAACTATAAACAAGTACGTGACTTTCAGTACATTTATGAAACTCATAAAAAAATTTAATATAGTAAAAACATTCTAGCGACCTGGACATTAACCAATAATGTCTTCAGTATTACATTAGTACACTATCACTGAGCAATAATGTCTTCAGTATTACATTAGTACGCTATCACTGAGCAATAATGTCTTCAGTATTACATTAGTACACTATCACTGAGCAATAATGTCTTCAGTGTTACATTAGTACACTATCACTGAGCAATAATGTCTTCAGTATTACATTAGTACACTATCACTGAGCAATAATGTCTTCAGTATTACATTAGTACGCTATCACTGAGCAATAATGTCTTCAGTATTACATTAGTACACTATCACTGAGCAATAATGTCTTCAGTATTACATTAGTACGCTATCACTGAGCTGCTTTAGTTAATCGGCTGTATTTCCTGATTTTTAATATTTGTGAAAATTAGAGTTTTGATGTTGCTTAAGTTCCTTGTTTGCTTATTATTAAGCACAAAGCTACATAATGAGGTATCTGTGCTGTACTTTCCGCGGGAATGAAAACTCGAAATATGGGCTATCGAATCCCGATTTTTAACTTTATGAGCCGTTAAGTTTACTGTTGAGTCACTAAAGAATGTGTATGTACTGTAGGAAGTAGCCTCGTGTGGCACTTCTGGCATGAGTTCTGGGTGTACAAACTATAATATTGAAATCTACTCTTCATGTCTATAGTTTTAAAGAGCCTACCATGGCTACGTGGTTAGGGCGCACGACTCGCAATCTGCGGGTTCCAATCCCTGTCTCACCAAACATGCTTGCTCTTGCAGCCGCGAGGGCGTTATAATGGGACAGTCAATCCCATTATTCGTTGGTAAAAGAGTAGCCCACGAGTTGGCGGTGGCTGATGATGAGTAACTGCTAAATTAGGGACGGCTAGCGCAGATATCCCTCGTGTAGCTTTGCGAGAAATTCAAAACAAAGCAAACTTCGTTTTTTTTTTTGCTTTTTATTTATACACTATATGAACTATAATTTTAAGACACGACTGTAGGATGGGAATACACCTCCCTGAAATGCAATATTAAAAGTGTCATTTTTTTTCGTACATCAAAATGCATGAAAATATTCATATATTATTTTAACTGTGTAATGAAGAAAATGTATAGGCTCTTCTCTAATCAGTAGTTCAATATTCTAAAGAGAAAAGAATTAAAATATATTTGGTAGACAGATTAATGCAAAAAGCTTTTGTATCACCTTTATATTTGTAAATTAGTGTTCAAAGCACTGCTGTAAAAGGCCGTGATTTTGTGATTAGTTAACATAAGTGTATAAAATTCACAATCAATGGAAGATAGTGGCCATGCTCAGTACAAAACAACCAGTGGCCATGCTCACTTCAAGCAACCAGTGGCCATGCTATGTATAAGCAACTAGTTTACAACCCTAGAAGACTGCAGTACCAAACGTATTTTCTACATGTACACCTAAGTAAGAAACAAAACAGAAAAACATTTACTATCACGTTAACAAATGAACACAAGATGAACTAATATAAATCCAAGGCTATTCAGAGCTAATATAAAAATATCACTAGAACTTACCAAAATCAACAGTAACATTTGTATGGAAACATGGTTGATCAGTGTTTTCGTAATATTTGGAATTTATACCAAAGTTTAATGCAAGAAACAATTCATCACCCATCAAAAAAGTACCATCAAATAATAACCAAAAAATAAATTGATTCTTTATATTATAATATCATTTTTAATATTATCAAAAATGGCACTCATATCTGGGAAGTTAAGCGACTGCTCAACAATATGATTGATGTTTCTTTTGAGTTATTGATCTATACTTGTCAATGTACTATCATTGGGCGTTTTTTTACATCGAAGGAATTTTAGATACAAACTCTTGGTTTAATTTACTGTCGAATGAATCAATTATTCTACGCAAAATCCGTGTTTATTGTTGTCATAGAAGGTATGGTATTAACAAATTAACTATCTTATAGTCTGTTGTCATTACCTATCTTATAAACCATTGTCATCACCTATCTTAGATTGTACTAGGAAAAGGAGGTTGACATTTGAAGCTCCAAACACTTAAGTTAAGTAGGTACGTATAGGATAACCTTGAATAGTCGCCAGGTGCGTTAAGTTTGCCAAAAAACTCGTTACTAGAGAATTATTCCAGGAATTTTGTTACACAGTATCATGCATGCATTTTCTAATTGAGCTGGAACTGTCAAAACAAATATTTACTTACATTTTGATGCCACACTATTCAAAGGTTTAACCATTATTTGTCATAACTACTACCTATCACTTAAAGTTAAATTTTACTCGTTCATTTTTCCTCATCCAAAATGTTATCCTCCTGTATGCATTTTTGTTTAGTGACATTATTTCAGCACACAGCTCAAATGTTTAGTGACATTATTTCAGCACACAGCTCAAATGTTTAGTGACATTATTTCTAGCACATAGCTCAAATGTTTAGTGACATTATTTCAGCACACAGCTCAAATGTTTAGTGACATTATTTCAGCACATAGCTCAAATGTTTAGTGACATTATTTCAGCACACAGTTCAATTATTTAGTGACATTATTTCAGCACATAGCTCAAATGTTTAGTGACATTATTTCAGCACACAGTTCAATTATTTAGTGACATTATTTCAGCACATAGCTCAAATGTTTAGTGACATTATTTCAGCACACAATTCAACTGTTGCTAATTCCCTCAGCTTTCTGTGATGAAATTTATCCAGAAAATAGGTTTTTCATTATTTATTTATAAATTGCAGCTTTCTCTTAGTATAAAGTAATACACATTGGTAACTTTTTTAACGTTAAAGGCAATTAGGAAGTTAATGTTTGTGGAAGAATTGGGATCTCCATGACGTTAATTACATTTTTATATTAAGCCTGACGAAAAGCAGTTACTCGAAACGTCGCTAGTTAGAAAATATGTGTCTATATTTCAACGTTATATTTTCTACAATGATTTTATTTTATTTTATTTAATTCATCTTTATGGCCTATGGAGTGTTAATGACTATTACGATGGGCTTAACAATAAGGGTATGTCTGTTCAACAGCGACTATCAAATTAGTCTATGTGCGTATTATTCGTAAACTGAGAAAAAACTCTCTTTCCCTGTATGACTTTTATTTCTTTTCAAACTATTGTAAAAGTTTTGAAAAAACAAACGTTGTTTTAAAAAAAATATGTTGGTCCTTCGGGTTTTTCTCATCATAAAGATTATATATATATGGAAGTTATACTACTTTGGGAGTCCTCAATTGAAATAGATCTGACTCAAAGTTATGTTGTTTTACAATCATCCTCTTCCTCACTAATCACACTTGTATTTAAATAAATCATATATTTTTTACAGGTCTTGACCAACCAAGAATAGCTTCTGATGGTGGACCTCTTCCAAGCGCACGAGCTGTATCCTCTTTAGCAACACCTGACGCAAACGTGCCTCACAGAACTTTTACCTTACTCATTATGCAATTTGCGCAGTTTTTAGATCACGATGTAACCCTTATTGGTTTGACAAGAGGTAAGTAGCTAATTATCTAAGATAAATCTTCGTCCAGATAATGAGACGACTAAAATGTAAGTCCAGTTCATTCGTCAATATATATCGATAATATTAATCATATTATTCTTATTACCAAATTTTAAAAACAGAATCATTGACACTATAAACCAGAAGTGATGATTTATAAGAATTAGATAAATTATGTATAATTAGATAACACTTATAATTGCATTACAGTGTTGCATAAGTTATGAATGTACAATTACCTTAAGAAACTTATTAGTGTTTACATTAGACATTGTAACTTCTATGGAGTGAATATTTCTGAAGTCTAAAATTTTGGTCTCTGTGCTGAATCCTACATGCAGATGCGGCCCATGGAAATCTTAAGAATATTACTATCTATTTCCCTTAATCATCTTTAAAATAAGACATTTTATATATTTTATTTCTCTATAAATTTAGGAACTTTTACCAAGCTACCACTGACACCAGAGAAAAATACAATAGTTTGTCAAGTGGGTAAGATTCCCGTCAAATCTGGAAATCCGAAAAAGCATAAGTAAATTAGAGGGGTGGATAGGGTGCGATCGATTTGCTAAGTATTATATTGCAGTAGGAAAGGTTGGAGGCTGTGTGGTTGATGAATAACATAGCATCAAAGTCGAGCAGCTTCGGGTAATGGTCATCAATCATATGACCAGCAATGATCATCTCTTCGACAGTCATTTTGTTGGATGTTTTCTTTTTGTTGGCTAGTTCTGTTTCTTCCCCTGTTACCTGGTAGCTATCATTTGATCTTTTATACCAGTCATTTCTTCCTTATCATGATTCATTTATTGTCCTTCTTCTTTTTTTATTATACTTTTCCTCTTCCATTGATGACTCCCTGCTATTTGTTTTATTTCATCTTCTACTGGTAGCACGTATATATTTTTCTTCACTTCGGGCGTTTAGTTGCATCGCCATCTTCGTAAGAGATAAACCTTCTATGACCTCTTTTACGGCTTACATCTTCGATCACTGGTATCTCGTCGTAGTCCCATCCACATCTGCTGTACACAGCGTGGTCACAAGTAAATAAACACCACCTTTTCAGAAAAAAATAAAATTTTCAGTCATATTCACATGA